GTACAGTTCAGTGCTAGACCTCATACATCGCATGCACAAGACCCTAGGTTCAGTCTCCAGCACAAACAAAACAAACAAATAAAAGAAAAATCCCCAAACTGGTAAATCTACAAATTCAAAAAGCTGATCAAACCCCAACACGTTAAACTCTTAAGAAATTCACACTAAAAACATCATAATAAAGTCTCTGAAAACTAGACAAAGAAAATAACTTTAAAACAGAGAATAGCACATTTTATAGAATGACAGATTTGAATGACAATGGATTTCTCAGTAGTCAAAGCCATCTTGACCAAAAAGAACAAATCTGGAGATATGATAATACTGTTTCAAAATACATTACACAGAGATCTGGTAATCAAAAGATCATAGTACTGGCATAAAAACAAGACACATTAATCAATGAAATAGGTAGTATTTAGAGCCCAGAAGTAAGCTCACACATTTATGGTTAGTTAATCTTTTTTGTGAGGGTACCAGGGATTGAACTCAGGGGCACTCAACCACTGAGCCACATCTGCAGCCCTAATTTGTATTTTATTTAGAGACAGGGTTTCAGTGAGTTGCTAAGTGCCTTGCCATTGCTGAGGCTGACTTTGAACTCGCAATCCTCCTGCCTCATTTTTGACAAAGTTGCCAAGAACACATAATGGGGAAAGAACAGGCTCTTTAATAATTAGTATTGGGAAACCTGGATATCCATATGCCGAAGAATGAAATTAGATCTTTATCTCACACCTTATATAAAACCCCAAGGTGTAAAACTCTACTAGAAGAAAATAAAGGGTGGAAGCTCCATGACATTGGTCTGGTCAGAGATTTCTTGGATAAAATTCCAAACTCAGAGGCAATAAAAGCAAAAATTGAAAAATGGTATTGCATCAAACTGAAAAGTTTTTGCAAAGCAAAGGAAATAATTAACAGAGTGAAGAGAAAAAAAGCCACAAATTGGGAGAAAATATTTGCAAATTATATATCAGATAAGTGACTAATATCCAAATAGATAATAGAGCTGAAATAACTCAATAAGAAAATAAATCACCCTATGAAAAATAGGGGCAAATGACCTGAATAGACCTATCCCCAAAACACATACATAAATAACTAACAAATATAAGAAAAATGCTTAATATTTTGCATCAAAGAAATGGAAATTAAAACTACAAGTATCACCTCATATTAGTTAGAATGACTATTGTCAAAAAGACTAAAGATAACAAGTGTTGACAAAGATGTGGAGAAAAGGGAACACTTGTAAAGTGTTGGTTGAAACTGTAAATTGGTACATTATTGTGGAAAACAGTATGGAAGTTCCTCAAAACATTAAAAATAGATTTACTATATGATATAATAATCTACTTCTGGGTATATATCCAAAGGAATGGAGATAAGTATGTCAAAGAGATACCTGTACTCCCTTGTTCATTGAGACATTCTTCACAATATCCGAAATATGGAATAAACCTAAGTGTACATCAATGGATAAAGGAAGAAAATGTGGTGTATATATATATGGAATACTATTCAGGAAAATAAGGACATTTGTCATTATTTTGATGTCTCTTCATGTCTATTGCAAGTGCTGTGACTCCAAGATGAATCAGCATGGATGAATCACTATGTGACATTATTTATGCTTAAGTGAAACAAACCAGATACAGAAAGACAAATACTGTTTGATTTCAATTATATATAGAATCTAGAACAAAACTGAACTAATTGAAGTAGAGAGTAGAATGGCAATTGAGTGTGGGGTGCAGAAGGGGAATGGGAAAATGTAGTCAAAACGTACAAAGTTTTAGACAGGAATAAATTTTGGAGATCTTTGGTGCACTATTGATGTCTACAGTTAGTAGTAATTAATTCTTTGCAAATTTCCAAAAGTAGATTTTAAATGTTCTCATCTCAAAAAATTATGTGAGGTGATGGATATGTTAATTAGTTTGATTTAATTATATACAAATGTATACATACATGAAGACATACATAATATATACAATTATTTGTGAATCATGGATTTAAAAATAAAGTTTTATGTCCTGATCAAAACAAAGGGAAGTTAATTAATATAATTCACCCTACCAATAATCTAAAGAAGAAAACCCATATGCTTATCACAATTTATGTGAGGAAAGCATTTGGAAAAGTTAAAATATTTATTCATGACAAAAACTCTCAGCAAACTAGGACTACAAGAGAACTTCCTTAATCCAATAAATGGCATCTACAAAAATATGGTGAATATAATAATGATGAAAGACTGAACACTTTTTATCTACTCCAACATTGTGCTGAAGGTTATAGCCAATGCAGTAAAGCAGGATTAGGGAGTAAATGCACATGTTGGAATGGAAGAAAATAGTCTCTATTAATATAATATGATTGTCTACCTAGAAACCTCCCATAATTTGTCTGCAAATAGAAATGAAATATATTAGATGTTGGAAACAGTGGCAGACACTTGTAATCCCAGTGACTGAGAATCCTTCAAAGGACACCTGAGAGTGAATGGAAAATGAGTCAAGCTCAGATCAAAAAATAGGGAAAGGGACTAGGATACAGCTCAGTGGCAGAGTGAGGCCCTGGGTTGAATCCCCGACATGGGAAGGAAAAAAAAAGAGAGAGAAAGAAGCATCGTATGTACCACCCATATGTTGCTGATGATGCTCTGGTGGCCCTCACATGGTTCTAGCATGAGGCCATTAATGATGAAGAAGAACAGGTATGGCCCACTCTCAATGACAATAATACTTCCATCACTGACTTCCATCCAATTAGGGCTGTTTGTATGAACTGGCAACAGGAAACTTGCAATCTGATGTGCTGTTTTCATATAACACACACACACACACATATACATATTATAGGCAAATTGTTTAGTTAGGACAATAACTGTGGGCAGCCAGTCTGAATGATTTCTCATTCTCCTTCCCTGAGTGGAGAGGCTCTGACCATCACTACATCTTGTAGTGACCTGGATGTTGCCCCAGTCCCGGAAGTTTAAGAATGCGTCTTCAGACATAGGCGTGTTGCCCTGTGGATTGAGCTACACTCACCTATTCCTTTGTGATAATACCCCTTTGCCCTGTTTGGGATAGAATATTCCATGGAAATGCCCTTTGTGTGTCCCCTTCTCTTGCTCTGCCTTTGGGTATGGCCTTCCTAGATGTCAATCTGCTGACAGCAGACATCATGAAGCTAGACTCAACCCCCTGAACCCTGACCCCTTGCCTCATTTGAATGGCTTCTCCTCAATAAAAGGGTTCAGCATGTGCTTACTTGCGTTCTTTCTGCAGACCTTTAAGGTCAGAGGAACCATCACAGGACCCCAAAGAAAAAGGTATCTCTATCTCATGTATGGTTATTTTGTGCAGCCCAGTTCACCAGAAGTGACCCTGAATGTTTTATTCTTAAGGAATAAGACAGATAACCTTGCATTGAGTAAAAAAAAAAAAAATACTTTCTACTTCCATGGGACTCTAGTCCAGTGAGGACAATGAAGTGGCCTGACAAATCCATGTCACTGACCCTGATAATAGGTACCCTGACATAGGAACAGAAGATTATGGACAACACATTGAAAAGAAGCCTTTACTGGAAGTGTGCATTGGAACTCAGGCCCTAAAACATAATAGAAATTAAAATGTTTCTTCCCCAGAGAGCAGGGTGACTTAAGAGATCAGCATGAATAAGAGTCAAATAGGCACGGGGTCACATCCAGCTAAGTAAATTCTCTGGTCCCTTTACACAGACCAACCTTTTCATATCTATTTGTAGCTTAATAGGAGTGCATGCAGAATAAGGAATAGAAACAAGTATTTCTAATGTTGCATAGTCTACCTGGGATGACTTTTTAACCCTCAGGGCTTTCTATTGTTAGATCAAAAGTGGTAAATCCTGTTTTTTTTTTTTTTTTTTTTTTTTTTGTGGGAACCTCTCCGGTACATCAGTGTTATCCTGTTTTCTCTCCTTGGAGTCCAGCAGCCTCTGTTGCATGATGCAAATGGGAGAGTGAAATACAGGGGGGTGCTATGTTCTGATGGTCTCAATAAACACTCTGAAAAAAATCTAAGGAGAGAGTATTACACATGAAATCAGGTGAAGGGGGAAGATAGAGAATCTCAGTATAGGAGGGACTCCAGACAAGCCACTGTAAGAGTTCTCCTCCTATGCCCAAAGCTCTGTTCTGCCTCTTAGGAAAGGTTAAACAATTACTGCTTCCACTCCAAAGTATAAAGAGGAACTCACTGTCTTCTTATCTTACCAGGATGTTCACAGATAGAATGGAGTCCTTGATGCAAGGCTGAAGGGTTACAAAATCATCTTGCCACATTGGATTCCTGGTCAAAATGAGATGGTTATATCAATTTTCCCTTCTTGGAAAACTAGTCAAGGTGCCATGCTACAGATGGCCTGCTCAGAGGCCAAAGACTTCCTTAGGGTAACTCTAAGAGACACAGATTTCTTCTTGGACTTCTCTACTTTCTAACCAAGGTAGATAAAAATTTGGAAAGCAAAAGTGAACAAGCTCACTAAAGATACTTTTTTAAAAAATTATTATTTTTAGGTGTAGATGGACACAACACAATGCCTTTATTTTTATGTGGTGCTGAGGATCGAACCCGGGTCCTGCCCTGCTAGGCAAGCACTCTACTGCTGAGCCACAATCCCAGCCCCTCCTTTTTTTTTTTTTTTGGATCTCCCTTTCACTTTCCTTTAGGTTTCATGAACATATTTCCATTAATAAACATTTGTCACTGCAACTGGATACTATTGCTTAAAGAAATATTGTTTTCTGGCTATTTGAGCAGATTCTGCTTATGAACGGATTCACCTTAGAGAGGAGGGAGCACTATGCCAATTCCTTGCTGACCCTGCAGTTCCTCAGATACTTCCCAACTTGATCTTCCTAATTCTTGACCCTCCTATCCTAAACTTGAAGTTCACAGAACAGCACCTACCTTTGAAAAAATATGTTGATGTATCCCACATGCAAAGACTCATTTCTTGTCAGGAGAGCAGTGTAGAATATCAATGCTATGTTGAAATGCATGGACTTCAGAAATATCCCTTAACTCAGGTATTGTAAATGTGTGGATGTTACCATCAGAATCACCCACCTGCAACCAAAGCATCACCACCGTGTCAACAGAAAAAGATGTGATATCCTAAAGTACTCAATATATACTGCCATTTCTTCAGTCACTTATTGGAGATCCAAACTTCTGATCAGCTTGCCTCCCAAAATTGTTGGGATAATACTATGGAATAGAATTTCCTAAGCCCCCAAACACTCTTGCCAAGGACAGTTATTTGTAGGCACTTTGGCACTGCTTTCTTCTCAATGTTTGCCAAAATTCACATCTTACCCTCCACTGTCCCTGCCCAAGTTCATGGACAACAATGTACACTGAAAGAAGAGACATAGATACAACATAATTCAGGGACTTTATTTTCCCCATAGAATTATGGCTGGGGAAATATACGTGAGGTAGGTCAAAAGTCAAAATGGAATGGAGGTTTTTATGGTCAAAAATCATTGGTATTTTGTGATCAACTCCTAGGGTAGAAGACAGATTGAGATATGACAGTAATAGGACCTCAATGTCTTCAAAGCAGCAGCAAGAATTTCATTTTGTGCACCCGCTTAAGGTGTGGGGCTCACCATCAGGAATGACCCATCCTTTGTGAGAAAAGCATTCAAGGAAAAACAGATTTGAGCCATGGCGCAGGTAGCCAGAGGATTCCTGTCACGACAGTTCCACACTTTGATAGTTTTCTCCATATCTGCAGTGATGGCGAGATGCATCTGAGGGAGGGTCTCCAAATTGGTGATATTGAACTGCTGTACTGGGCTTGACCAGATCATAGTGCCCTAGAGAGCAAGAGCAACATTTGGTGTTCCAGGAACTCTTCATACCCATTGTGTTTTCATTCTGCTAATGCTTATTTGGAACCCTATCCCAACCTAGACCCATTTCTTGCTTTTGGGAAAAGGACATCAAGATCCTAAACATCTCAATTATTTGATGGTGAGAGTGAATATGAAAACATGAACTATGCATTGTGCTCAGAGGCAGTAACTCAGAATGTGAAGAACATAAAGAATGATCAGACTCTGTGCTCTAATCAGTTCTGCCTCTTAACCAACATGCAACATCCAGCAAGTTACCTCCTATGGTGGCTTCTTTGGGGGCTGTTATTACATTTATAACATATGAAACAGAATTCTGTCTTGGGAATTYTAGGAGTTCAAAATGTATCAATCATTATGAAAATAATTATTCTATCATCAACATTTTATACTGCAAACAAAACAGAAGAAATTGTTACTTCTGCAGACTTTAGTCTTTTTAAAATTGTGAGGTATATCATATAAAAACAAATATGTATGTGAATTTAGTAAATTATAACCACTTTGTTATAATTCAAGGTAACCAATTTCTAAGCCCCCCTCCAAACTGTCCTTGATTTATTTAATAACCGTTTCATCCTTCTCAAATGTAATCTTTACTTGATTACACTATAACAATTTACCTTTCTGGTGCTAGTAATCTATTGCCATGTAACAAACCATGCCAATATTTAGTGACTTAAATCAACATGCTTTTTAAATATCCATTTCTGTTGGGTTGGGAATTCAGATGCAGCTTGAGAAGGTAGTTCTAGTTCTGGATCTCTCATGAGGTTGCAGTCGAGTTTCATTTTCAAATATCTAACTCACATGGTCAGCAATTTGGTGCTGAATACTGGCAGGAGTCCTCTGTACCTCACCACACAATCTTTATAAGTCTGCTTGACTATCTATCCTCATCATATTGTGGCTATTCTAAGAGCCAGTGACCCTAGTAGAAGTGTCTTTCATGGTACAGCTTCAGAAGTTACACACCATTATTTCTACAACATCTTATTGGTTACGTAGGTCAGCCCTATTCAATGTGGCAGTAAACACAAGATCATGAATACTATGGGGCAAAGATGTTGGGGCCATCTTAGAGATTGGCTGCCATAGTCCACCCTGTGGACCCTAATATTTCATTTTCCTCCCACATGAAAATACACTCACCACCTTCCAATACATCCCAATGTCTCATACAATTACAGCATCATTGAAAAATCTCAGATCTCGTTGTTTAATCAGATACAGGTATACATTAGGTACAGGTAAAGATTTAGTTGATTTTGATGTGAAATCTTTGAACTAAATATACAAGTTATTTATCCTCCATGACCCCACAATACAAGGGTAGGGTACACATAGGATGACAGTCACTGCCATTTAAAAAAGTGGAAAATGGAAAAATAGAATGGGAAGCACCAATAAATCACTGGTAAACAGAACTTTTAAAATTCAACAGAGAATATGCTGATAGTTTGCTGATTAGGAGTCAAGCTCTTAAGAAAGATTCATCGTGGCTCTTTGTTCTGTCCTCTGTCCACCATGTACAGTGGGCCAATTTTATAGCTGAGTAGTTTTTGGAGCCTACTTCCTGCCTATAAAAGTTTTGGGAACTAAAGCCTGCTTTTCCTTTGTAAAATATATTTGTAATGTATTTCCCCTTTAAACTCAATTTGGCAATGTTTCTGCCAATGTCATTGTTTTTTCTTTTTCCAGTGTCATTCTTTGAAAAACTTTGTGGGTTTTTAAGAGCCTTATTGGAGTTTTTGCTACTATACAACTATACTCACATGTCTTTGAGATGCATCCTTTTATATCTTGGTATTCTGCTGTGGCTACTGAGGATAATGCCTTAAGGTTCTTATAAGTCTCATTGACTTAACAGTTCTCCAAGGCACTTCCTTGCTTATTTCTGAAATATATCAAAGAAATTTGCAACCATTCCTTTGGTTTTATCTTTGTAGTATGATTTCCTGATTTGATCTTCACTTGGAACCTATTACTTGATTTAGCATCATTTTCTATCCGAAGAGGCTGTGGATTTTCAAAACCAGCAATTCCTAACTCACCTTTATTTGGAAGTCATTACTTTAACCGCTTTATTTTCTCTTGCATTTTACTATGAGCAGCAAAAATGGTCAGCATTGAGAATTCTGCCAGGAAATGTCTTTAGCAACATTATTCAATTTGTTGGATACATTTTCTAATTTTTCACTTTACATGGGTGACACTAATGCTAAACTTATGCCACTATGACAAGGACCCATTTTCTCCATTGTCTTATAATATTTCTTATATTTTCCTTGAAGCTCTCATGAAGGCTATGAGATTTTTGATAATCATTTAAAACTCAACCATCTCTTCTGAGTCTTCTCAACTTATGCCCACTGCCTGGTTCCAAAGCTTATTCTACATTTTAGGTTTTTGTTATAGCAGCACTCTGCGTCTAGGTTCTAAAGACTATACCAGTTATAAATTGTTACATAACAAATAACATTGAGAATTAAAGCAATAAATACTCATTATCTCAGTTTCTGTGAATTAAAAATCGAAGAATTGATTAACTGAGTCATTCTGGCTTAGAGTCTCTCATGAGGTTGTAGAAGTCATTGGCTAAAGGATTGACTGGGGCTGGAGAATCTGCTGCCAAGATGACACAATCATATGATTGTAAGTTGGTTGGGCTAGAGATATAGCTCAGTTGGTACAGTGCTTGCCTTGCATGCACATGGCCCTGGGTTCAATCCCCGTCAGCACAAAAACAAACATGCATAATTACAAGTTGGTGTTTGCTGTTGGCAGGATGTCAGGATTCTTTGCTGTCTGATCATTGGGCTGCTTAAATGTTCTCAGGGATATGATGAGTGGCATCATCTAGAAAAAGTCACCTAAGAGATACCCTTCTATAAGTTTTAAAATTTTTCTGTAAATACTCATATTTGTAAGAGGGCACTTATCATACTTCAAAAGACCCTGGGATTTAAGAGTCATTACACATATTTTTTTCCAGAAAGGGAGAGAGAAATACAAATAGAAAAATCCAAGAAAATACAAAAACTGGGGACCCACTTTGGAGTCTTCCAACTCCCAATCCAGTGTTCCTTGCACTACCTTGTTAATTCTCACAAGACCTTTATATGCCTTTGAGGAAATCAGAGTTAGAGATAATTTTCTGCAAAAGCCAACATAACAAATGCCAATCATTGACAAAGAGGCAGTAAAAAGGTAATGAAGATACATAACACCAAAAGATTATTTCATGAAATCACTTTGTGTTACTGGTAGAAAATAAGAACTTATACAAGTTTATACAATAGAAATACATATTGAAAAGCAAATTCCTGAGACAACAGCAGGTGGTGGGGGGATGGCTGAATAGAGGTACCCAGAATTCATTTGCTTTTTCACAAGGAAGAACTAAAGCAACAGGTGTATATGTGAAGACTGAGACGACAGGGGAACACTGGAATTCAACGTAGAAAGATGGAAACCTTGTTAAGTCCAGAGACCTGAGATGGCAGTATAGTAAGAGAAAATATCTCATCATCTGACATTCTGGTCTGGAGGAGGGTTAATCTCCCCTTTGAAGGAATGAAGGTAAAAAAGTTCCAGCAAACTCTATCAGTTCAGATACTGGCAAAGTTTCATGGCCCTGGCAGTCTTACAGCCTGAATATACAATAGTACTGAGATCTTTACAGTAGTCTGGCTTTGGAAAAGGAATTCATTTTATCTCCCAGTGAACCAAGGGTGCCGCAGATAGAAGCCATCTTGAGGAGGGACCTAGTGTCTGAATTTGGACTGCTTTAGGAGTCAGAAACTGCTGCAATATTCTCATTTCTAGGATCCCACAGACATTCCACTGCATTGTCTCAGGGGGTGACTTCCTCATGAACTAGACTTGGCTTGGTGGAGTGGCTGACACCAATTGCTGAGATCACTACTCAATGGGGAATGGGTGCTATGATGTGGAGGGGAACAGGGGGTGCCCTCTATAAGAATTGGGGGATGGGGAGTGTGCCCTCTGAGGCCAGGAACTTGGCCTCTTTGGTTTCACATGTTTGCCAGGACTAAAGGAAGTTACCTGCATAGTTCCTGCCACCCTTCTCCCAGAACCATGAAGGGTGCCTACCAAATAACAAGGTGGATAAACAGCTCTGAGAGTCTATTGCTCCCCTACCCACAGAGGGGTGTTGGGGCAGTTTTAAACAACATTACTGCAGCTCCAAATGTAGTCATGCTCCAAGATGCACACCAAAGAAGGTCTGAAAAGAGTCTTTGCTCTATGTTGCCTTGTATTGCTCTTGCTCGCTTGCTCTCTCTCTCTCTCTCTCTCTCTCTCTCTCTCTCTCTCTCTGGTACTGAGGATTGAATTCAGGAGCACTTGGCCACTGAACCACATTCCCCAGCCCTATTTTGTATTTTATTTAGAGACAGGGTCTCACTGAGTGCTTAGGGCCTTGCTTTTTGCTGAGGCTGGCTTTGAATTCTTGATCCTCCTGCCTCAGCCTTCTGAGCTGCTGGGATTACAGGCGTGTGCCACCAAGCCCAGTGTGTTCTGCTCTCCTTTTATCCTTCAAGCACCCCAGCTGAGAGGAATGTTACCCATCTCCAGCCATGATCCACTACTGCTTGATCCCTGGTGGATACTACAACTGAATCAGGGGGGAGAAATGCCCCTGGCTGTTGCCGTATCCTTAGGTGTGCACAGCTGTGGGGGTTGTCTAAGGTTTTGCTCTTGGTAGGTTCTGCTTATAGTAGCAGTACAGAGGAATCACAAAACATTTGCTTTCACTGCACTTATGCAGGTAACCTGCTCAGTTGCCCCGACTTTACCTGTGCAGGTATGCTGTATCTGTTGCCCCCATACCTGGTCTGACATATGGTGCTGGGAAGCCTGGGTGTGACTGCACAGAGGGGTACAGGGATTCCTTTCCTGCCTCTGCCCATGAAGCACCTGGCCTCACACCAGTATCT